ACTGATGACAAATCTTTGCCACCTTCACATGATGCAACTACCAACAAGCAAGTGCCTGCAGCTGCTCCTGTTCGTGTGAACGATGTCTTTTGGGAACAGTTCCTTACAGAAAGACCAGGCTGCTCGGATAACGAAGAGGCTAGCTCTAGCTACAAAGGGAACATCTACGACGAGCAAGACGAGAGAAAATCAAATCAAGGAGTAGCTAGTAACACAAGAAAGGTGGAACACCTCACCCTTTGAGTATATGAAGTTGTCATTAACTATCAATCCCTGTTAAAGTTTATTTTTTCCTGTTGTTGTTGTTTTGGAATATATTATTATATGGCTTTGTATGCATGTATACAAATAATATTATGATAAATATACTTCTGAGCAAATAAGATATGTATTTGGTGATGAAATGTTGTTTGATTTTCTTGAGTGTCATATAAAGAATAAAGAACTCATACTCCACTTTCAGCTCTGTAATCGAAAAATAGTCACTATCACGAAGTTTCAAATTCCGTTGGTCCTAGACTATCAACTATGAAATTTGAAACTCTACGATGATTATTTTTCAATTACATAGGCTAAAAAGTGGTTATTCGCGAATTTTATCCATTTTTTCTTCCTTTCTCATTTGGTGTGCTAAAGGTTCTAAAGTTTCAAGCTAACTCAACAACCATATGGCCCCTACTATAATTATGATGTACTTGCCTTCCATTTTACCAAATAAATTGGAGATAATTTTTTTTATTTTACAATTAAAGTTATATTCTTTGTACAATATGAACTCATTTATATAGGCCAATAGTTACTCCTTGGGCAAATAGAATTTTAATTCATTAAAGAGGATGCTCATATCATACTCAATTTTAATTGCAACTTATAGCCATTTAACCACTAAATTTAAAATAGCTATATAATATGCTTGAGATTTAAGTTTTTGGACCAATTCTCATCAAAGAAAAGGAAATGTTGGACCACAAATATGATTACTAAAAATACAAAAAATGAAAACAAAGTTTTTAACTCAAGTCTCTTTAGGGTTTTCAAATTTTTGGTATTATTATATTTTATTAAATTGTTATGTTAATTTAAAAAAAGAAAAGAATTTGCACGAGATATCGTTAAAACTGAAGGTATTAAAAAGATACGATCAATATAATAAAACAAACGTATGTTTAAGGGGCCTACCATTTTCAACTTTCAAGCTAACTCGCAACCTATCAAAATTATGTCTTTAATTTTTTTTAAAAGAAAAACTACCAAAACAATGGTTTATTACGAACTTTTTTTTACCGCTAAAGTTATATTTAATCCGGAGGTCGCAAAATACGATAAAAATCCTTCAGAAACAATCACTCTACCTCTAGAGCGTGCCTCTCTAGGATCTCTCATCTTCTTTTCCTCTCTCAGTGACTCGAACTCATGATGAGTAAAAAGAGGGATGTTTACTATCCGAGCAGCTCTTTCTTATCAAACAATTACTCCCAAACTAGGCAATTTAGAGAATTATAATTCATTAAAGAGGATATATGCTCATGAAATCATATATCATATATTATTATAAGAGGGAACAAAAAAGTTAAAAGTTGAA